AATCAATGAATTCCTACCCAGCTGTGGCCCATCTTATTCTTCTAGCCCCCAGAAGCCTTCCTGTTGATTCAAGCAAATTTTACTGAGACTGATTTCTGCTTTGTGCTCCTGAAAATTCAGCCACCAATCAAAGGTCCTGGGGTTGTTGGTCAGTTCTATGCAAGGAATCAATGAGTGTTTCTGGCTTCTTTCCTGTGCACAGACCCCCAGATGCCCTGAGAGGCAGATGGCCAGAGACGTCCTTCCTACGTCCTGCTTTTGGAAGACATTGAATCCACAGGCCAGAATACACACCCAGGAGTAGAGAAAAAGAAAGCCTGCGTTTGTGCACAATCCTGCAAAATGCCTGAGTCTGAGCTTCTGTTTCAGTTCCTATCAGTAAAGAGTTCCAACAAAAATACCAACACCCACTCTGCTCCGAGGCTATTCTAAGCATATGAGCAATTAAATGCCCAAATCTTTGTGAACTCTATGAACTCTCAGGGTTTGGGGCTGTTACAGTTTGAATGCCAAATGTTTCTCAAAGGCTCAGATGCCAAATGTTACTCAGTGAAGCTTTGGGGAGATCATAGAAACTTAGGACCCAGTTAAAGAGAGTGGGTTATTTGGGGCTGTTTCTTGTCCCCCACCCCTTCCTCTCTTTCTTCCTCCTGTCCACCATGAGGTGAGCTGCTTTGCTCCACCATATGCTACCCACCATGAAGTCTGCCTCATCAAGGTGTGGAAGCAATGGGGCCAGGTGAACATGGACTGAAAACTCTGAAACCGTGAGTCAAAATAAACCTTTCCTCTTTTAAGCTGTTTTTCTCAGGTATTTTGTCACAGCAATGAAAAGTTAAAACAAGGGCATTCAGTTGAATTTAGTTAAGACCAATTTGTAGTAATACTTAGAAATTCTTTTAAAACTCCAACCCAAGATAAACATGGTGGTGAATACCTGTAATCCCAGCAATTTGGGAGGCTGAGACAGGTGGATAGAAAGTTCAAGATCAGCCTCAGCCATTTCGATGCTCAGCAATTAGCAAGACCCTGTTTCAAAGTAAGTGAACTTTGAATATAGGACTGGGAATATAGCTCAGTGGTAAAGCACCCCTGTCTGTGTTCAATCCCCTGTACAAAATAAAGCAAAACAAACATACAAAAAACCTGCAATTCTTATGTGAATGGGCATTAAACAGTTTAAGCACACCTGCCTAACAGTTATCAATCAGTGCACAGAACATTCTCCCCCCCCCCCCGAGCCTCAGCCTCTGGGAGGCATTACCTCAGAATATGCCTTGATAAAAACAAAAAGGACATTTGGACACCGTATTTGCATTTGTAATACTGGCTCTGAAGGGAGAAAATGCCTTGCTCCTATAGTCACAGAAGTGGTCAGCAGATGAAAGGATACTGTCCTGAACAAGGAATCCACAAATACAGTACAAGGAAGTCAAAGAGTCACAGAGGGGTCCGTAAAGCCACATGGAGTGGGCAGGATGCCAGTGGCAGGGGATCATGGCCCCATACCACAGCTACTTGCTCACATCTGTTTTACTGAACCAGCTAAAGAATAAATGAACCCATAAAGGGACCTTGGAGAACACTGATAGCCCAATTTTCAAGATCTCTTGGGAATACAACAGTAAGTCTCTAGGAGAAGGAGACATGAGACATAGGTTCACTCCAAGCTGGCACTGAGACTTCTGCGAGGAGTCTGCTTTGGGCTCAGGCTCACGGGGCTACCAGGGACCAAGAGGCTTAGGAACATCTGGTCAAAGACATCCGTGCTCAGAAACAGGAAGAACTCGGTTGTCTTAAATGCCACAACTACCGCATGGTGAAAAAAATAAATTAAATATAAAATTAAAGTTAAATTTTAAAAAGTTAATTAACTTTTCATTTTATCCAATTCTGGCTTATTCCTTTTCTAGCACTTAATTATGTGCTATGTCACTTAAAATTTAAATATTCAATGTAAAAATAAATACTTTCCACCCAACTACCTCTCCAGAAGCCCCATTATGTCTCTGAATATGCCCTAGAAACTTGGTATTTTTGAATTGGCACTGCATTGATATATATCAGTTTAGAGGATATTAGTAGAAAAGGTGAATTAAGGACTTCTGAACATCCTCTCCTCTATGAACAATAAGAACACTGGCAAGTTATCAGAACCAACTCTCTCCAAACACTAGAAATTAACAAAAGGCTTTCAGCAATCCAGGGAACATTTATTCAAGGGGAAAAAAAGGCTCAGAACAAGCAAAGAAACTAAATTACTAATCAAAAAACATAAAAAGATAGGCATGAACCCAGCATGGTGGCACACACTTGTAATACCAGCAGCTCGGGAGGCTGAGGTAGAAGTTCAAAGCCAGCCTCAGCCACTTAGCTAGGCCCTACGCAATTTATCGAGACCCTGTTTCTAAATAAAATATTTAAAAGAACTGGGGATTTGGTTCAGTGGTTAAAAGCCCCTGGGTTCAATCAATGGTACCAAAAGAAAAAAGAAAGAAAGATAGACATGAACACTTCCCAACTCATTCTTTGAGGCCAGTATTACCCAGATACCACAGCCAGACAAAAATATCACAAGAACTACTAACCAAAATCCTTCATGAATACAGATGCAAAATTCCTCAACAAAATTGTTACAAACCAAATCTGGCAACACACAATAGGATTTGTGTACTACAGACAAGTGGAATTTATCCCAGAAGTACAAGATTGATTCAACATCTGAAACTCAGCATGGAATGTACCATATTAGTAGAATAAAGAACAAAAACATATAATCATCTCAACAGATGCAGAAAAAGTATTTGACAAAACCCAGTCTTTTTCCTGATAAAAACATTCAACAATCTAGAAAAACATGGACCTTGCCCAACTCAATAAATGTTATGTATGAAAAACCACAGCCAACATCATATTAATGGCAAAAGAGGACTGAAAGCTTTCTCTCAAAATCAGGGACAAAGATACCCACTTTTGCCACTTTTATTCAACATGGCATTAGAAGCTCTAGCCAGAGAAACTAAGCAAGAAAAAGAAATCAAAGGCATCCAGACTGAAAAGAAAGTAAAACTATCTCTGCTTGTATGAAACCATCTTTTATATAGAAAATATAAAGAAACCACACACACACAACTTATCAAAACAAGGATAAAGTACACTGAAAACTGCAAAATATTATGAAAGAGGTTAAATAAGACTTAAGTACATAAAAAGGCATTCTATATACATGGAGTGGAATACCAAATATCATTAATATGGCAACACTTCCAAATTGAGCACAAATTTAATGCAATCATTATTGAAATCCCAGATGGCATTACTGACAAAATTGATAAATCGGTCCTAAAATACATATGAACCAGGGACCCAAAATAATTCTGAAAAAGAGCAACAATGTAGGTTTCATACATTGCAATTTAAAAACTTACTACAAAGCTACAGGAATCATGACTGTGTGGTGCTAACCTAAAAACAGGTATGTAGATCAATAGAATGGAATTGAGAGTCCAGGAATAGTCACTTACATTTTTGGTCAATTGATTTTTGCAAGTGTGCCAAGATCCTTGAAAGAATAATCTTTTCAATAAATGGTGCTTGGACAACTAGGTCAAGTAGGAACCTATTTCACACAAAAATGAACTCAAAACGGATCAAAGGCCTAAATGTAAGAGCTAAATCCATAAATCTTAGAAGAGAGATAGGCATAAGTCATTTTGACTCTGGATTTGGCAACTAGTTTCTTAGATGTGACACAAATCACAAGAACAAAAGAAAAAATAGATAAATTGGGCCTCATCAAAATTAAAAATTTTTATATTTCAAAAGATGATCCATCTGGGCATGGCAGCATGTGCCTGAAATCCCAGCTACTGGGGAGACTATGGCAGGAGGTTCTTGAGTTCAAGGCCAGTCTGGATAACATAGCAAGACCCTGTGTCATTTAAAAAAAAAAATCACTCTTCAAACCTGGCTCTACCTTCTCTTTCTCACTTGATTTCTCACTCCTGACACTCTCCAAGCTTCGGTCACCCCACATTTCTGCCACATTCCTTTTGTCCCCATGCCTTTGCACATGCTGGGGCTCTCTTTGCCTCAGTAATTCCTAGGCAGCTATCAAGCTTCATGTCATGCCTTGCCCTCTGGAACCCCACCAGGGCAGCCACTGAGTGCTCCAGTGGTATGTAGTACATCCTCCCTCAAAGCCCCCTATCTTGGCTCTGATTGGTGAGTCTCTTCTTTATAAAGATCAGGATTCCTCATCTCTGAATCCTCAGGTGTTTTATTCAGCTTTTTCACTGCTGCAACTTGAAAGACCCGACCAGAACATCTACAGAGGAAGAAAAGTTTATTTGGGGGCTCACAGCTTCGGGGGTCTCAGTCCACAAGTGGCTGGCTCCGTTCCTCCAGGTTCAAGGTGAGACAGGCATCCTGGAGGAAGAGTGTGGCAGAGGGAACCAGCTCACATGATGATTAATAAGCACAGAGAGAGAGAGAGAGACTCCACTCTCCAGATACAAAATATATACCCAATAGCCACACCCCCAATGAACCACTTCCTCCAACCACAATCCACCTGCCTTCAGTTACCAACTCAGTTAATCCTACTAGGAATTGATTCACTGATTAGGTTAACATTATAACCCAATCATTTCTCCTCCAAACCTTCTTGCATTGTCTCACATGTGAGCTTTTGGGAAACACCACAACTAAACCATAATACCAGGCATAGATCTGGGAAATTACTGGCAACTCAGTAAAAGTAGCATTTAATTTTTTTAATGTAAGAAATCTCCAAAATGGACATATGAGCTCCGGAAGCATGACACTCACTGTTCTGCTCTGGGTCATACCTAGCAAGATCATGCACATGGTCAGCCTTGGGAAAGATTTGTGAAATGTGAATGAACTAAAATGATGGCTGAGCCAATGAACAGTGGAGGAGTGGAACGTGGGTGGGGAAGGCAGGAGTCTCCTGGCCCCAGGAACCAAGCTCAACTCACATTGTTCTTCCCACTCTTGCTCCTCTTTCTCGCTGGCTTGGCAACGAAGCTGGGCTTGCTTCAGCGACCAGTAAAGCTCCTTCGCCCTCTGTTCCTCCTGAAGGCGAATCTGCTCTTCTCCTCGCTTCCTCTCTTCTTCCTCTTTCCTCTAAAACATCATGGAGACAGATAACATTAGAATGAAGAAGTATCTCTTTGAATTTGCAGTAGGTCAGGGCTGAACTATCTCAGGATGGGATAGGCCAGTAGTGACCACTCCAGTCTCATCCCCTACACAGTTGAAATGGTGAAGTTTACACTTGGTAAGAATCAAATGGGTTAAAATATGTAGAGAAAAAAAATAGTAAAATTCTGAAGTTTTCTACAAAGATCAGAGGACTCTGGGCCAAAAGCTTTTCTGAGAAGATCAGAGGTCTTGGACCATCCTTGGATTACTTTCATTTGGAGCAGAAAGAAGGAAGGTACAGGAGGGCCACCTGGTCTTCCTGGAGGGCCATTAAGCAGGATATTAACATGCTTTAAGCTTAAATCTGGAAAAGGTATTTTCAAGAGTGAATAGGTTTAGGAGTCCTGAATCTCCCACTTCTATCTCACCTTCAAGTTCCAGAAAGGTTTGTGTGCCTCTGTGTGTATCTCTGTGTGTGTATGTGTGTGGGCGCGCGCACGCACATGTGTGCATGTGCATACATCCAAGTGAATGTTTCTTTTGTTTGTATGAAAATAGCATGTATATGTTAAACATGCATCATGAGCTTAGAAAGGCTTATAATGCAAAATAGCAGATTGGGGTGTGCAGCTCAATAGTAGAGCACTTGCCTAGGCATTTGACAGGCCCTAGGTTCAGTGTTCAACACTGCAAAAAAAAAAAAAGTTGCAATTGTATTTGTTTTGCTGTATTTGTTTTTGTGGCGCATGCCTGTAATCTCAGCTTCTCAGGAGGCTGAAGCAAGAGAACCACAAGTTCAAAGCCAGTCTCAACAACTTAGTAAGACCCTATTTCAAAAAAATGGGGATGTAGGTCAGTGGTAGACACTTGGATAGCATGAGGCCCTGGGTTCACTCCCTAGCATCACAAAAACAAAAATAGAAAACTGAATTCTCATTGCAATTTGTAATTAAATCAATAACAATGTCAACATAGTTTATTGCAAAGCCAAAGAGGGTGCTATTTTCACCAATTCTAAAAAGTACTTTTTAAAAAAAAAAATTTTTAGCATCACTAAAATTTGCATGTCTTACAACTTGTCTTTTTAATAGGCAACAGTTTTTTCTTCTTAAAATAATGGCATGTTTTTATAATTAATATCATCTTAAATTCAGTAAAAATATGGAAATATGATGGCTTTTTCTCTTTTGTTTTTTTCCTGAGTTGTTAATTGTTTTCTCTTGAAATTCTAAATATTTCTCTATATTTAACCAGGTGTTCTTTCTTATAATAGATAATACAGCCCTGAGTGCCATTTTTCCTTCTTGTCCAATCCCAATCCCTAAGGTGCTTAGGTCTCCTCTCCATCTATCTTCCCAGGACCACCCTCTCAGCCTTCCCTGAAATGGAGCCCTGTTTCTTTGTTGGCCATTCCCTGGCTTTGGGATAACATGTCTCATACTGCTTCTCAGGTAAGCATGCACAGAAACATTTTCTGAGTCCTTACCGGTCTGAAATTATCGCCATGTGAACCTCACCTGTAACTGCTAACTTGGCTGAGCATAAGAATTTGATTAAAAATTCTTTTCCTGCAGAATTTTAAAGACTTTACTTCCCTGTCTCCCAGCATTTGGTGCTGCCACTTTGATTGTCATTTTTCCACATGGGGTATCAATTTTTCTTTCTGGAAGCCTTCAGGGTCTTTTTACCGCTGACGTTCTGGGTGTTTTTAAATGCTGTGTCTTGGTGTGGATGTCCTCCCATCCGTGATGTGGAGCACTTGGAGTGCTTTCAGTGTGGAGTCTCTTGTCTGTCCAGTGCAATACATCTTTGCTTAGGATTTCTTCATCATTTCTTCTCCTCTCATCCCTCTTTCGCTTTTTATAGGACTCCTATTTGTCACTGCTGGTCTCCTTGAGTTGGTTGATCTTCTAAGTGCTTTATCATTTCTTGTTTTCCACATCTTGTTCTTTTTGCTCTTCTCCCTGGTTGATGTCGCTGACTTTATCTTCCAAACCTTCTACTGAGTTTATTTCAGCTATGGCATTTGCAATTTCCAAGCCCTCTGTTCTATCCTTTTCTTGCCCCTTTCTCCTCTTTGCATCTGTATTTGTTTCAGAAATACAGTAGCTCATCTTTCTGAGGCTTTTTTTTTTTTGCCCCCTCTGTGATTTAGGTTTATTTCCTCTGTGTTTTTGTTTTTTATTTGTTTGACTTGGTGCCTGCCACCATTTCCCTGGGAGACTTTCCTCCTATGTCTGATGCTCACTGGCCGTCCATTCATATTCAAGAGAAAGGTAAAACCTGAATGGGAGGTTCACTGTGTAGCCAGGCTTCCCTGAGAGGTGGACCTCACTCTAGAGCAACAGGATAAGGAACTAGCCATTCACTGAGCCATCCGCAAATRTAAGAATCTAGATTCTTGTCTGTGAGAATATTCAGGGTCTTCTCTCTTTCCTGGGTGATGTCTGAAGACCAATATTCAGTAGTCAGTGGGGAGCAGCCTACAGATAGGACTAACCTTTCATCCAAGCCAGGAGGGCTCTAACCTGGGCCCCATTCTTCATGGAAGCCTATGCTTTGAAGTGCCTTTTTTGTAAATGTCCTCACCAAGCCCTCCCTGCAAGGTATATCCAGAAATAGTCCCCCTAGAATTGAGAAAATCAACAGAGTTTTTCAGGAAAGCTGCTCTGTGCCCAGATGAGGTCCTGCTGAATCCTGGTTCCTGTTTCTTCCCTTTATGGAGCACTCTAACCCTCTCCCCCACCACCTGGCAGCAGGTTGACCAGATGCCCCAGGGAATTCCGGAATTCATACTCATGAAGTCAGCCTGGATCCTTCTTTGAAAAGGTGACCTAACGAGTGATAAATTGTGCCAATATATATAGAATTTTTAACACAAGTTCACATAAGATTCAGTTGCCAAAGTAGAGCTAACAGGCTGATTTTATGTGGCCCTAATTATTAACATGAAGAAAGACCTTGCAAAAAATTATTTGCCAGCCCTGCATACCCTAGAGGCAACCTTGGCTATTGGCCCCTTCCTCTGAGTTCAGATTTTTATTGAATTTCCATCTTTCCTACTTGGCCCTCTCCTGTTCTGCCCATGTGCCCCATTAGTCCAAGCCCCAAACCTCCCCTTTCAACTCCCCATCTCCTTCTAGGCCTAGTCCTGGAGGAATATAGTATCTTGGAAGAAACAGGTGAAAACTGGGATATTTGAGTCCAGCCGCTCCATACAGAAACTTGTAGCCCTTTCCACATTCTCAGCTCTGTCCTTTGCAGTAGCTGGTGCCTCCAAGTCCTGGACCTCTGAGGGCTATGGACTGACCTGCTCACTTCCTTCACTTCTTTCTGCACCCAGAGAGGCCCTCACCACCTTTTTCCTGTCCTCCAACTGCTGACCTTCCTGGACATTTTCTCATCCATTCTTTCTTCTCTCATTTTCCCAATCCTTGTGGTTTACAATTTTTCTCAGGCCCTTGGAGTATTCTAATGAATCAAATAAGAATTTAAAGGGAAATAACTGAACTTTTAATCCCTCATCTTAAAAACAAAGCTGTGTTGCTTCTGAAATGGTTTAGATGGAGAACTTTCCTCCAATTYAGTGATCAATTTTTATTTATTTTTTAAATAGACACAGTTCCCACTTACTAATTATYCATTCTCAAAGAGTTAGAGATCAAGGACAAGAGAAGTTAAGTGGCTTCATTTAATCACTCATCAAATACTTATGAAGCACCTAAGAGGCTCAAAAGCCTACTCAAGGTGCTGCGATACAGCAATAAGCAAGACAGTCCCCACTGGCTCAAAGCTGGCTTTCTAGAGGTGAGCAAAACACTAAACAAATAAGTGGAAAGTCAAGAAATTTCACAAAATAACAACCAATGTACAGAGAATCACAACTGGGTAAATGAAGAGTCAAGAAGGCAACTTTAAATGGTGTGACCAGAAGGCTTCTCAGGAGTGACATCTGGTCTGAGACCTTAATAACAAGCAAGTGGGTATTGGGGAGAAGAAATTTCCAGGCTGAGGGAACTGCAAGTGCAAAGGGCCAGTGTTGCAAGCCAAGCTGGCCTGTTTAAAACACAGTTACCCACTGTGCTGGAACTGAAAAAGTCTAAATGCTATGTTGGAAGAGTGTGAGTACCCTCAGACACCCAGAGGCTCCTGAGGACAGTGGAATGCTGAGCCTGGGGATTAGGGGAAGATCCGTCTGAAGAGACTGATGAAGAAGTCACCTGGTGTGAATGATGTTCCTCAGCCATGGAACCTAATGGTGACTCCGGCAGAAAGAGAGCAGATTAAGAGAAGACAATCAGAGTGTCTTGGGTCACTCCATCAATTAAAGGTTGAGAGAAAGAGTCAAAGCCAGAAAAGAGAACTGAAAAGGAAGACCAAGGGGAAGAGGAAAACCCAGAAGGGACAGAGAGCATTTCAAGGGACAGGGAATGGCCAACAGAGCTGAAGGCTGCTCAGGCTTTGCAGAGGTAAGGAAATCACAGGAGACTGCTGGGAGTGGCCACTGGAGGCAATGGAGAGCTTCACAAGAACAGTCCTAGTCCAGCAGAGGGGCAGCCATCCAGATGACACCAGGAAGGAGTGGAGAGGACCACAGACAACCCATTCAGGATGTCCATTTCCTATGACAAAGAGCCCAGAACAGAAGTGACAGCTGGAGGTTAACGTGGGGCTATGATAGACATGGGATGGGTTGATTTTGATGTGGGAAACACTRGAGCAGAGTTAGTGACGGATACAGAATTGGAACCCAAGTCTCTAAGACCCCAAAGTGAAATCAGCTGAGTTTTACCTCAAAGTCTGACTTCATCTGTATCAGCCTCTCAGCAGCCTCCCGCACACTGGCTCAGCAGCCCCTCACGGTTTCACAGTGGGTTCTGCTCCCTCCCTCAGGGCTCCCTGGTATCTGAGGACAGTGGCGGCATCACTCAGTCCACAGGGCACAGCCATGATAACCTCCACACAGCACTTCAGATCTTCCA